ATAATGAGTGAGGTCATGCTTAATAATTACTAATGTATATAGAGTGTTTAAGAATCAAAACTAATTCAAGTCAACTGGGCAATAATGTGGAGACTATAACTACATCATTATAAATTAATCTTTAAGATGCCTTAGCATATGCAAGATTTGATGAGAGCTAAAAAAAAAATCAGGAAGTGGCTGGTTGTAATATATTGGGTAAAAACTGAGGGAAGTTGGTGAGAGCCAGTAGTCCCTCCCTGAAACTATGAAACAGCTTTCCACAACCTGGCATCCTCTAGACTAGCAGTTCCCAAACTTTTTTGGTCATGGAACTTTTCTGAAGACATTTTTTTCCTGTGGAACCCTAACTCTATCCCTGATTTTTACCAGGCTTTGTGAACCTACAATGTTTTTCCTTCTTTCAACTGCTCCTATTACCTAAGTGCTATGCATAACACAGTAGGTTTGGGAATAAAGAGAAAACATTTTAAATATAACAAATGAATATAGCGATCATATGGTAATATCCCAAATGAATTATTTTGATTATTCCCAACACTATGCAATAAAATCCTAGAAACCAAATGACGTGATGCATTTCCTTGTTTGCTGCTTAGACCCCAACTGACAATCGAATAGTTGACCTTCTGTGGTTTCATTTTAAAGTGTTTTAAAATTGATTTTTGAGATTTTTCACAGAACCTCACAAGGCTTTTACAGAACCCTAGGGTTCCACAGAACAGTTTGGGAACCACTGTTCAAGACATTTTGGACATCAAACCACATTAGCCCCAGTCAGCATTGCTAATGGTCAGGATTTTTGGGAGTGTCTCAGGTTGGGAAAGGATGCCAGAAAACACAGGATGTAGTCTCCTATATGGAATCCTCAAAATTACTGTAAGAAAGAAAGTAGACTTTTACGTAGTCCTTATGGACACAAGCAACATGGTCACTTACTACTTCTTAATTATTAACCTGCTATTAAAGCAAGTCAAAGACTAGTTGAAATGCTGGCAGCTTTAAAGAGATACAGGTTTGCCATGTTTCACTTAAGTTCAATCCAATATCTGTAAACACAGTAAGTTTCAGAGAGTAGAGGATGAATGTTCACAGCACGGATTAGGATTCCCTCTGAAACTGGAAGACTTCTGAAGGAATGTGCAGGCACTATACTTGTCCTCAATCAGTTGTCCAGGATAGAAGACACACTTCTAACCAGGGCTGATGGTTGGACAAGTTGAACAAGGCTTCACAGTCCGTGAGGTTTTTTCCTTTTCTTTTCCTAGGTAGAATTCAGTGCCCTGTGTCATTCCTTCTCCTCTAAGCTGGAGGAATGCATATTCTCTGAGAGGCCCCTTAGCTCTGTTTCTCTTAGCAGAAATGACTACCACCAGGTAAAGCAGTTTCTGGCTTAAGGGAGACCATTTCCAGGGACTCAAAAGGAGCCTTTGGCAGTGCTTTCCCACAAGACTGCACTAATGGGAAAAACTTTGTCACCAGAAGGCTAATAAGGAAGGGTAACCCGAGATACATTTTTATGTTAGGACATATTCCTGTGGGATCCTTGGAAAGGTCCCCTAGAATGCTATGACACCTGACACCTTGAGGTCACCTGAAAAACTCTTACAGGAAACTATCTTAAATAATACTTCTTAACCTCTTACCCAAGGTGGTCCTTTCGTATGAGGAGCTGCTGCTGCTGAGGAAGAATCCTCATGTATTAATGGACCTTCCAGGATAACAGGAGTGTGCTGATTATACTTACTGAGTAGTACTCCACGTGGTTAGTTTCAGGAACTCCAGGTATTGGTGAGGGATGGGATGCAGGCTTAGCAGATCTCTGCAGGCTGGAAGAAGTACCAATTCTGCTGTCAACATGTTGATGAGGTCCAGAACCACAGGTGTCTTTACCACCTTGACATTAGCAGAATCACCTCTGCCTAAACATCCTGAATACTCTGCATGACCTTGGAGATCAGTGGAAATGGTGGGAAGCCATAACAGAAGTTCCTGAGCTATTCTGTGGTCAGGGTATCTACAAATGTTTGCTCCCCTCTTAAGTGTCTTAATGCAAGCTTTGGGAACTTTGCATTCTTTCCTGATGAGAACAGGTTGATGCATGTCAACTCACGTCTGTCATTACCTTGAAGGAGCTTGCATGTAGGTTCCACTCTCCTGGTGGCTGAGCCAGCCAGTTATATGTTTAGCATTCTTTTTGGTTTACCTTCCTCAGGGATGTGACATGGCACTAGAACCATCTGAACAGGCTCATGGCCTCTTTCATCAAGGACTCTCCCTTTCTTGCTTAAGTTCATACTAGCATATACTGACACTGAATCTTGGGGAGAAGTGGGGAGTTAGATGTACTGAGCTCTTGTTAAGGTGATGCTCTGTAGAGCCTGCTCCTCTGATCTGTGTGATCTTGCCCACAAATGGTGCCCCAATCCATCAAGCTGGTATCCTGGATAGGTGCTAACTTTGTCAGGTGGCGTGGGACAGACCACCAACCCAGAGACTTCTGGACTTGTGCAGCAACGGCTGAAGTTGCAGGTAATTTCTGCTTGGAACTCCAGCAGGCAGCTCTGAAGGGCCCTGGGAGTAGAGTCCTATACAGAGAAGCATGCGTGAGGATATCATCCCCAGAAGCCCTGCTGGTGGTAGTATGCACACATTTTGAATGTCATCCACCGTGCTAGAGACCCAGGTGATAAAGACTGATATTCTCAGTCTCTTGTCCCAAGGCCGTTTAAGTTGTCCTAATAAGATTAGCTTAGGACTGCAAAGTATAATCAGTATTTTTATCATCACCTGCTCATTTAAGGTATTGGAAATAGGAGAATTAAGGATATCTACAATCTTTTGTTTACAACTTGATTCATTTATAGTCAGATGGACACAAGTTGTAAAAGTTATAGAAAATGTGTCTTAACCTAACATATGAAAAGATAGGTTGGATTTTTTTTAAAGAATTCAGTTTCATAATCAATGGTAAATAATCACCATCTGTACAACCTGCAAAAAGGAAGTATTACAGGTGATTTGTGTGCCTCCTCAGCCTGCAGTTCAGGTGCTAACTGCTAATGGCCACCTTCAGAGCTTCATTTCTCCCTTCTTAATAATTCTTTATCTTTAAACTAGATTTGAACCTGACAGTTCTTCAAATAGAGGACTGTCTCTGTATGGCTGGTGGGCTATGTTGGAATGTTGCAAGTTTAGCAAACTAGTCTTACATCAAATGTCTGCTTTTGCTCAGCTATTGCCCTTCTTTGTTTCCACGGCTGTTTTATCAGCCTTGGCTTTTTGTGCCAGTCTATCAAATCACCACCACCACCACCCCAGGAACATTGTTCAGCAATGACCCCTAGCTCTAGATAGGCCACAGTATGCAAACTTGTCGGTGTGTTCTTACACGTCAGAACAATTTGAACCAGTTGCAGAATGTGTGGTGTTTCTGCTACAAGAATTCCAGAAACTCATACAGCTGAGCCAGATTGTGCTATCAAGGAGAATCACTGATTTGACTAAAGCTGTAATAAGTATTCTCTAATGTCAGTATTAGCATAGTTTTTGCTGCCAAGGAAACAATCCCCTCAAAACCCCCAAACAGTTTACCCTGCCAAATATTCTCTTTGTTTCAAAGGCTTTTGTCCTGCTGGATGTGCTTCTTGATGCCATTAGGTCAGCCTAATTTACTTATTATGCAACTGTTCATAAATTAGGGTCTTTTTTGCTCCCCAGCCCACACATTAGTTATTATTAATATTATCCATATTCCCCAGCTTGCCACTGAAAACTTCCCCTTCGGCCTCCAGTAGCTGCCCTTGGACATTTCTACTGCAAACCAATGTTATGATTAGATTCCACCCCTGCCCCCAAATTTCAGCACTACACTGAGTTGACAAATGCTGAAGGAATCTGCCTCCCTGCCCCCATCACCTGCTCACGCTTTCTTCATTCTGTACCCCTCTTACAGGGGGTTGGGTCCCTTAAAAATGCAGCATATCAAGTGTGGCACCCTACACATTACCAGGAGAGAGGAATACACTCATTGTGGGATTCCCAGTACCAGTGAGCAAGTTTTACGGAGGCGAGCAGGTTTGTAGCAGCATTCTATGGTGTTCTTCCTCCATGTCCCCTTTTCTTGAGTGCTCAGGTGGCAGCAGAAGTGAGCAGCATTGAATCAGCATTGGGCAACTAGCAGGTGCCAGGTAAATTGCTGTGATGCGGCACAGTTGCTGCTTAAACCAGTGGGAAATTTAAATGGAGGCACCCAGCTGCTTTTTGAATGGAAACCCTTGGCAATGGTGTGAAATAGGTCCTGAGGCAGCTGCCTGAGGATGCTGTGAAATGAAAACGGCCCTTGGTCCAGTTAAGCAATTTTGTAAAAAAAAAATATATATATATATATATATATATATATATATATATATATATATGCTGTAACTGTGGGCCGAGATCATTGCCCCCCCCTTTTCTTCCTGGAAGTTTCTTATTGAACATCCCATTGTAATGGGTTTGTTGCTACTCAGACCTTTGGCATAAACTAGACCCTTGGCTTGTTCAAAAGAAGGGATATAGCTAAGCAGCAGAGTTCACACTTTGCATAGATTAGGGGACCAGTTTCAGTCCATGCCTGCACCATTTAGAAATAATTTTAAGCAAGGAAAGACCCCTGCCTAAGACTTTGGGCAGTTGCTCCCAGGCATAGTCCTAGGATAGATGTCCAGTCAGAAGTTCAATACAGCTCCTTATGTATCTTCAGAACAATTCTTACAAATACTGGTCTGTCCAGAGGAAAACCAGACCTGAAGCTTGACTGCTTCTGCTGCTGAGATTCCACCTTGCCCTGTTCATACGCAGAGTAAACTCTGGTGATGTAGAACTGTTGCAAGGGACAAGTAACACAACGGGTTAAGTACTATCCTCAATCTGAAGGGGAAGCCCAAGTTCCAAGGGGGCTTGCAGCACGCAATCCAAGGAGGAAACAGTCCTCTTCTTCCAGCTGTCAAGTCACCTCCTTACTGCTTGCAGCTATAAACCACCTCTTCCTGCATGCACTGTTGGCATTCGACATAGCAGCACCACTGCACCTGGCAATGGCAGGAGAAGGTGACCATGCGGCTCTGGATGTTGTAACCCCGGCCACAGCACATGCTGTCACAGTTGGCCTCCCGAGAACACGTCCTTCCAGCAGTGCCCACGGAGTATCTACTGGGCCGGCAGAAGCTGGGAGAGTCCTCCATGTAAACCAGGTCAGTGGAGCGGGGAGCAACCGGGCCTTTGGCCAAGTGGCCACTGTGCTGGGGGCTCACCAGTTCTGAGTGGCCCACGGCATCATTGGTAGCACTGAAGACTTTGACAGCACCATCGTAGCGTAATTTGAGCAGCTTTCCCATCTCATGGAAAGGGGACAGCTGTTTCCAGCAGGTTCTCACAGCACATGAACCAGATACACCATGACACTTGCAAGTGGTCTTGAGTCCATTTTTCACAGCCTGTGGAAGGGGGAAAAAAGAATGGACAGCTATCTCTCGCATGCCAGGATCATGAGTAATGAACCAGAAGATGGCAAAAGAGTTTTGTGGATAGTGTGAACCTTTGGAGAGCAAGTGTTCAAGCCACTAAATGTTTTTTAAAGGCGGATCCTGCGGCCCTGTCAACCTGCCCATTAGCCACTCTGAGCACAACTCACAGACAAATGCAGGCCCACTGCTGCATACTTAAGAAGCAAAGAGAGTGTTGTGCCACCTTGAAGGCCAAGAGAGTCATTGCTGCATAAGCTTCTTTGGACTAGAGTTCACCTGCTATTATTGCTATTATTTATTTTATGATTATACCATCCAATATCCAAAGCTCTCTGGGAGGTTTACAACAATTCATAAGATACAATAAAATGCAGTATAAAATATGCACAATAAAAGCATTATAAAATTTCTCTACAGAAGTGTAACACTGAATTTAAACAGCCTAAATAACCAAGAAAGGTTAATACAACTAGACCTGTTAAAACAGCTGAAATAGCCTTCTCCATGTGCTGTACAGAGCTGCTACGTGCACTGAAGGCATCAAAAGCATACTAAATTTGGTGTCAGGCAGGCCTCAGTGAGGACCACCACTGAGAAGGCCCTCTTCCTTGTTGCCACCAGGGCAGCCTCCCTTACAGGTGGCAGTTGGAAGAAGCGCTCAGATGCTGGGCACTGATACTCTGTCAAGCATTGTGGTACCAAGTCATCCAGGTTTCCTGAGTTGAAACCAGCCCCCTGAAGTGGGCTCAGAAGCATATGGGAGTCCAAGCTAGTGGGCCAGAACTAGGGTCCTAGTTATTAGTCTGGCTGACATATTTTGCACAAGCTGAAGCCTCTGAGCAGTCTTCAAGGGCAGCCTCACACAGAGTGTATTGAAATAGTCCAGAGATTACCAGAGTGTCAGTTATTGAAACAAGGCCATCCTGTTGTTTTGTCAAGATGCCAGGTACGCCAGCTATGCTAAAAATACAATGTCTGGTACCAAATTGGAAACAAGTCTATGGGGCATGTAGCTGGAAAATCTTGAATACAGTCCTATAATCTAGAAACTTGTACAACCTACCTGTGAAAAGCACACTGCTCTCCCTGTAGTCCACAGAAGAAAACCTAAGTTTGACATGCCAGAGTCTAGTTTGCCACTTGGCAGTGGTGAGGAGGGAGCCATGCTGACCTAGGACATTTTAAAATGTGCCATTCATCTTTTTCCTGGCAAATTGCACAAGGCCTTCATCCTCACCTTGATGCCCACATTCGTGTTGTGGATATCCACCTTGGCCCGCAGGTCTTTCCCAACCTTCTTTTGGCCCAGGAAGTTCTTCAAAAATCTAGTGCTATACTTGAGGTTGTCTCCACACACTCCCCACTGCCACGCTTTGTGGTTCTCCAAGTCTGGCGAGTCGTCACACGTGCAACGCTCCATCCTCCCTGCACTGCATGCCCGAGCGAGGGAATGGGTCAGCGCTGCTGAAGACACTGCATACAGGAAGGCTGTTTCCTTGAAACCTGGGGGAAAGGAAGCCAAGCAGCCAAGAGTGAGCAGCAGCACTGTTAGGCAACGAGAACACCTTAGATTAAGTGGCCCATGGGAGGGAGGAGGAGAAAGGCCAGAAGCAGCAGCAGCATTCTCTGCAGCCCATCATGCATGGAATAATGTTTAAACCAGACTACCAGATTTAGTGCTCTGCCTCTCATGCCCACTGCTACATCAATCCCACTCATATATAAATTAAAACTTAACTGAAATTAATAATATACCACAGAAGGCGATCTCCTGGTTGCTTAGACTAGTAAGAAGCTTGGCCTGAACTTTGATCACTTTGGCCTAATGGTGTGAGGCATCTTCCTTTCTTAGATAGTTACAAGCAACCAGGAATTCCATGGAAGCAGTGAACAAACAGAAACTTAATCCAGGCAAGATAGAGGTGCTCCTTGTCAGTCAGAAGGCAGGCTTCTGCCTGTGCTGGATGGGGCTACACTCCTCCTGAGGACACAGGTTCACAGCCCTGAGGCTGGATGCCCAGGTCTCAGTCGTGGCCAGGGCTGCATGTGCAGAGTTAAAACGAGGACACCAGCTGCACTTGTTCCTTCGCTGTCTGATTCGGCCATGGTGACGCATGCCTTAGTTACATCCCTTTTGGATTACTGTCGCATGTTCTCTACAGGGCTGCCTCTGAAGAGTGTCTGGAAACTTCAGCTGGTTCAGAGAGCTAGGGCCCGATTGTTGACTGGGGCTGGTTACAGGGAGCGCACAGCTCCTCTACTGAGACACCATCACTGGTTCCCAACCTGCCTCCAAGCACAGTTCAAGGCACCAGTGATGACATATACAGTCCTATATGGCTTGGATCCAGGCTACCTGGAAGTCCATATTCTCCTGTATGAGCCTGTATAGACTCTCAGATCTTCTGAGGAGGCCCTTTTCTTGGTCCCACCACCTTCATAGGCACCCTTGGTGGAAGCACAGGAGAGGATCTTCTTGGGGACTACCCCCAAAGCTCTGGAATGCTGGAGCCATCCCTGTCATGGTTCTGTAAGCAGGCTAAAACAATTTTATTCCAGCAGGCATTTGGGAATGGCCCGTGAGTTTGCACTGGGTTATTTTAATGATGTTTTTATGCTACATTGTGACTTACCATGTTTTTCCATGTATAAGATGATACTTTTTCTTTAAAATATTTACCTAAAAATGGAGGGGCGTGTTATACATGGGGGGCCAAGAGGAGAACCGCAGTTGCAAAACTGCCGATACCTTATCTCTGCAAACTAGCTCACGAGCGAAACTTCCGATCGCACAGACAAGCTACCAAGTTTCCTCCAATCATGAGCCTTATGTAACTGATGCCAGCGGATGCTGTGGAGAGTGCGTAGCCCAGGGGTCCTCAAACTTTTGCAACAGGGGGCCAGTTGAAAGGCGGTGGTGGGCATGGGTGTGCTGGGGGTGGGGGGAGATGGGTGCAGTGCACCATCCCCACCGCAAGCACCATTCTTTCCCCCTCACCCACACTTGTTCCATTCCATGCACACTCTTTCCACACACCCCACACAAACTTTTCCTCCACAAACGGACTAGACACTTTCCCCACAACACATACAGATGGTCTTCGTACTCCCCCATCCTCAGCTCTCCTCCTTCCCACAGATGAAAACACTGCACACAAACACCCTCCCCATGATATCGACACTCTTCCCACTCATGCACAGAGACACGTGTTCCCTAGCACAAGTGCACACATGCACGTGCATACGTGTTCTTTCTCATACCCATACATCTCCTCCTCCCCACAGGAATGCTTTCTCCCCCTCGACACACAGACACGTATCTTCCCCCATGTTTCCACCTTGTCAGTTCTTCCATGCAGAGAGACAGTCTCCCCACACACTCTTCCATTCCGTCACAACACAGACTGCTTTCCTGATGCTCGCCACTCCAGAATGGAGGCACTCTTTCCCACTGTGCACGGGTGATTCACAAGCTTCTTCTCTACAGGCACACACTTGCCACTTTGGCAAGGCAGTTGGGCAAGGCATGGCCTCCCGAAGGGGATCAGAACTAGAGCAGGCCCTGCAGCACCCCCCCCCACCCCATACTAGGGTCCTGTGGGCACGTTTCCTCTTTCCAGAAAAACAGGGGGAAATTGCCATGTTGTTTTGGTGTCGCGTTTGGTGTTATCAAGAGCTGGTGGGCAGACATTCATACCTCGCTTCAGGAGGTCCGCCCTTCCATCCAGGCTGCAATTCCAGCGCTCATTGCGAAACTGATACTGACACTCGAGGACACCAAGCCGGATGGCATCCCGTAAGGTTTCAGCTAGCCCGGGTTCCCGGCGGCAAAGCCTTTTCTGCTTCCGAGAAAGCCTGAGCAGGTCACATTGCTTCAGGTGAGCCTTCCAGTGGCCAAGGCTTTTTGAGGGCCCCAGCAGAGGAAACTGAGCTAATGCTTCTTTCCCAGTCAGGCTAGGAGAGGGAGGGAAAAAAAATCAGTCACAGCTTTAAAGAGGTCAAGGACACATCACTGCTAATGGAACAAACCATCAGCGATGTGGTTTTCCCAATCAGTTTTTCCAGGTAAACATGGGAATAGGTCACATATGCCTGTAGAGAAATCAATTCCTTTGATGAGTGGCAGCTTAATCTGCAAACCAGCAGCAGGAAAAGCACTGCATTTGAGATGAAGTCAGGAACTCAGGGAAGCTCCTTCCCGAATGGTGGTCCTCTGAGGTATGCTAGTTCTAACATGCAGAAAAAGGGTGGATGGGGCAGTTTGGCAAGACTTTAATATAATCCAAAGGTGATTAAGCAAGTTTTGAGCCTGAATGCACGCAAGAAGATTGGTTTTCTGAAGAAATTATTCACTATTGACAGCCAGAAAGCAAGAGAAATTACTATGTATCAACATGTCAAGTAAAGTCTATGAATATGTGAAGGATGACTCCTGTACAAGACAAAATTTGCCTGAAGGAAGATGTAGTATCCAAGATACCATATGCTGGTACTTCCCCCAAGACTTAAGGAAAAGTCTACCAGAATAGCTTTCAGAAAGAGAGAGCGAGCGAGCGAGCAGAAAGCATGTGAATAAAGAAAACAACTGACTGGGTTCATTTGGGGAACTGTACAGAACTACAAAGGGGCTAAACTAAAATTGTATCAAGGTATCTCCTTCTTCCACCAAGCAGCTATAACAACATTAAGAAGGGATACTTCATTTTGTCTCCAATAAATGAAATGATATCAGAAGTGGCAGGTGCCAAGTTCTTAATGCAGAATCCAATAAGTACACAATAGTGCAGTATTAGAGATTGTTTAATATAACACATGACTGGGGAGAAAGCAAAGCAGAAAGACTCCCAAATAAACGCCTAAAACATGCCATCACTGAGACTTCTGGTAGATAATCTTTCACCAGTTTCTAGAAACATTTGACGCTAGTATCCAGGGCTGCCCTTTGGTCTAGCTTCCATATCTGTGATCCCACTATGGTCCACTTCAAAAGCAGCAGTAGTCCAGGTGGTCACTTTTGCTTTTTACCATGAACAATCCAGTGTGCTTGCTTAGGTAGCGTGACTGCTCCCGCCTGGCTGCTCCCACCAATGGAAGTGTCTAAAGAAGCCAGAGATGCTCCTTCCCTGGCTTGCTTGGTGTTATGTCTGAACCTGGAACTCTGACTTATCTCCAACCAAACGGGCTTGTCCTTGGGTCACAACTCTGGTTTGTTACAGCAGAGACAAGCCTGAGTTTTGGGTTCAGACAGCCCTGAGTCAGGAAAGGAACGTCCTTAGCTTCCTTAGCCACTCCTGCTAACAGGGGAAGCCAATGAATTGCATGTACAATTGAGCCATGTGAACGAGCACACCAGCTCACTTGTGGTAATCCAGGCTTTAAAAGAATGTGCACAACTTTATCCTAGAGAATCATGGAAGACTTGAGGAATACTGAAAAGTGCAAGAATGAACAAGTTACTTCCATACTAACTCCTTTTTCTAGAAGTTAGTCATCTTTTTAAACAAAGAAACATTGACAAAATGGTTTCAATCCAGCGTTTTCCCATTCTTCCTCCTATAGCTGATTTGTTATTTCTTTTAAGAAAAAAAGTCATTTACCGTGGCAGTCTGTCTAGTATGGACAGCCAAAAATTTACTAAATCTCTTCAGGGCTATTGTGCCTTTAAGTTTCTTATTTACAGGTCTTCCCTGTTTTCATTGCTTCCTACTAGCAATGAATGTTTGATAAATAAATAATCTGTTATTTGCCCAGTGTCTGTTTCTGTTTCAGAGGAAGAAAGGAATGCTTTTATTACTGATTTCCTTTCACAGTGCACAATATATGATTCCCACACAATAGATGATTCCCTGTGAAAATGAGAATACAGTGGTACCTCAGCTCACGAATGCCTCAGTTCACGACCAAATCAGGTCACGAACAGAAATTTCTGAAAAATTTTGCCGGGGGTTGTGAACTCTGCATTGGGTGAGCGCCCGCCTTCCCTGCATGGGTACAATCACAGTCGTGTTGCGGGTGGGAGAGATGGCCGTGATTGCGCCCGCCTTTCCCCCAGCACGCCCAAGATCACACCCGTCTCCCCCTCGCACGATGGCTGGGGGGGGGGGAGGATGGCCATGATCTTTATTGTTCTTTGTCACTTAGCTTCACATTTTTGTGAGTAAAAAAATAGTTGCAGAATGGATTAATCTTATTTACATTGACCCTTATGGGGAAATTTGACTTGGCTCATGACCAATTTGGGTCACGACCAGAGTCCTGGAACGGAGTAAGTTCGTGAGCCAAGGTACCACTGTATTAGAAAAGATGTCTGGAAAAAACTAAATCTAAAATAATAGTGTTAGGATGCATTCCTATTTTATCCTGACATCATCTGGAAGACCGTGGGATTTTTCAGAATCTAAGCACAGAGGTCCTCCAACCACTGCTCAGACCCCACCTGCTCACAGCCAGAATGGAAGGAACAAGACCGGCTGCCCCCACCAAGGTTGAACTGGGCTTCGGGGCAGGGGGGATGGGACTGGGGTTGTGGGAGTTGCACTGCTTTCTACTGGTGCCCCAGCCTCCTTCCCTCCTTGTTGCTGGCCCTGAATTCAGATGATGATTACCAGAACTGCACCTTACACCTCGCACTGGATGCTCACATGTCTCTGAGTTCAGAGATGTACAAGAATCTGCCACATGGGCAATAGGAATGCACTTTTTAAAAATTATTAGTTCAGCTGCGGTAAAGATTTATTTGGAGAGTTAGTGCGGAAGTGTAGAATTTTCTCTCAAAAATATCAAGACATTCAGAGAGGTATTTAAATGATTACAAATGTATTCAAAGTTTGAATCAATTGCTTCACTTCCAGGACATTATCTATTATTTACACAATTTCTAGAAGCAGTGACATTGGAAGGTACCATAATATTCCATTATTAGACACAGAAAATTCAGATTTGCCTCTCAAGGCATTCAAAGAACGATAGAGACCACTATTTTAAAATATGGAATTCCTGGACTTCTGAAACAATCATGACTTGTCATGCAACACTTGTCTCAGTTATCCATAATTCAATTCTCTAGCTAAATATGACACAAGATTTTTTTCTTGTCAGGTCGCAAAGTCTTGTCCAACTCATCACAACCCCATGGACAACATTCCTTCAGGCTCTTCTGTCTTCCACCATCCCCTGGAGTCCACCCAAGCCCACACCAACCATTCCAGTGACCGCCATCTAGCCACTTCAACCTCTGCTGTCCCCTTCTCCTTTTGCCTTCAATCGTTCCCAGCATCAGCATCTTCTCCAGTGAATCCTTCCTTCTCAGTAGGTGGCCAAAGTATTTGAGTTTCATCTTCAGTATCTTTCCCTCTAAAGAACAGTCATGACTGATTTCCTTTAAGATTGACTGGTTTGATCTCTTTGTAGTCCAAGGGACTCTCAGGATAATAAGGCAATTATTTAAACAAGGAAAACAGAAGTACCTTACTTTGCACTTTTCCCAAAGGTTGGGCTAGTTACCATGAGACAACAGCCAACACAATGCAAGATGCTGGTAGTTTTACTAAGACACAAGCTCTCTATCAGTACAGACATTACAGGGACCTGTAATCTTTCCCTCTAATAGGAACTTGGGAGTTCCAAAAGACTTGATATATGTGCAGTTGTGCTGTGTAAATGTCTGGTTGGGACAGCATTAGTCTCACCTGTGGAAGGAAAAGGAGCACCAAACTCTGTAAAAATGTCTCACCATGCTGATATTCCCAGGTTGCTTCTGAAATGAGACTGCAATTCCTGAACCAGTAACTTACTCCAGATATTGAAAATCCAGCCACTACATCTGGTTCACACTTATACTAGTATCCTTCATGCTCGCTATAGTCTTTATCACACTGGGAATATTACTACAAATAAGCCCTGAAAAGGGAACCCTTCAGCTATTAGGAAAATCAACAACAACACTGTAGATCATGCTTGCCGTTTTTATGTAATTTATTTGCTGGTATCTCTATGAATGGCCACACCATCTAAGAACTGAGATTTGCAGGAGTCTGTTAGAGCAGAAAAAGTAGAAGCCTGAACATAGCATTGCCAAGTGGGCTTCTTCTAGAGTAGAGGGAGAAACTGTGCAGGGAATTTCAGGACTTGAAGTCCGAGAGCCCAGAGCATGCCAACCGAAGTGGCATGTGGGCTTCCCTACATGAGGCATTTATTGTGTACTTGTGATCCCTCACTCATGGAAGTTTACAAGGCCTGTCCACAATGTTGTCATCCCCCATAATAACTCCTAAGTTTTCCAGCCATTTTCATGGGTAGGGGGCAGGAAGGGTTTAAATAAGGCAAGTCAGGTTATTTTCCTAGATGGCACCATGATTTGGTACAGAAGCCTATTTTTGTAATTCCACTATCCCATAGCGCCACCTTCTGTAGTATAATGGAATATGGGAGGATACAGAGCCATGGGTGAAAAATACTCTAATCCTCCCACAAAGAAGTTGGAAGAAGGAGCCTCACTCAGGTGCCAATGCACAATCTTTTCATGAGATCATGGGTAGGGTACTCAGTCAGCTCAGTCAGGAGCAGAAGAGAGTCCACAAAAGGGAGAAGGACAGCAAGAGGATCCCTGTTCAATGTGGTTGTGTGGACAAAGAGGACCATTATGGAGCTAAAAACTCTGAAAACACTTTGTGGGGTTTCTTAATTAATTTCTTTTGCAGAGACTCTGGGCAACCTTTGCTAAGTACCTGTCACAAATTATTTGGTCATACTGATCTCTAATAAAATATATATTTGAATGTTCAATCTTTCTGATGGGTTTTTTTTTTCTTGAAACAACTTGTGTTTTCAGAGCCACACAAGGAAAAATAACTGTGAATGAGCCTGTGACATCTGGTTGACACCAGGTTATATGGCTCAGGGAGAAAAGCCCTAAGTCCCAGTTTCTAAGATCCTGACAGCAAAAGAAAGAACAGCCAGTAGAATGAAGCAACAGGAGAGGCAACAAACACCACAAAATGCGGACTGCAGAGACAGCGGGAGCCAGTGCTGCTAACAGCATTATGGACCTCAGAAAACTGGTTGGTAAGAGGTGCATGGAGAACTCAAAAATACAAATCGGGCAGTTGGGAACACAAGCAGTGTAAACAGGGACCCCAAAGAATTTGAAGGGACATGGACCAATCTGACATTTCAAGAGGGGACGACAGCCCATTCTGCAAGTCTGTACCAGGACCTTCTAGAACTGCACCTTGGAAACTTCATTAGAGATGCTCATTGTGTCAAACTGACTTAAGCCTCCTTTAGGAAATGCTGAATCTCTGCTACTAGAGAACTCAACAGCCACCTTTACAATGGATGTAAGGATGGGGTTGGCAGTTTTCGCACCCACCCCTGTTCTCATGTATTCAATAGTTGTTTGATTTGCAGAACATTAGCAGGCAATAACCCTTGTTTCAGATCAAGCAGGCAATTAAAGGCATAAAGCATGCCAGGACATTTTTTCTGGATATTTGGCAGGGTTTGCCAGGAACAACTCATCCACAATGATTTTATCACATTTCAGTTATAACTCAAGGAGCTGGAGAAACACACAGACACACACACTTATATTTAGCTGTACTAAGCTCTTAAAGAGAACCTACTTGTACTGGTGAGTGTTGCATAGTGGTTAGAGTGTTGGGCTGGGGTCCTGGGAGATCCAGATTCTAGCCCTTGACTGACCATGAAGCCCACTGGGTGACTTTGGGCCAGTCACTCACTCTCAGCTTAATCTACTTCACAGGGCTGTTGTTGTGAGGATAGAATTAAGTGGAGGAGAACTATGTAAGCTGCCTAGGATTCCTCACAAGATTAAAAAAGTGCAATATAAATGTAACATGGTAATAATAGTAAACGTAGCACCATTCTAACCTAAAGGGTTCCTTGATGGACATCCTTGGTGTCTATCTGACAATTATGGAACTCCCTCCACCTAAGAGGCATGAGAAAAACTAATATTTAGAATATAGAAAATACAATATATTTCATATGTTTCAATTTTACAATAGGCCTTTATTATCCTACCCTTTTCTTTTTTTAAGAACTCAAAGCAACTTACATCATTCTCCTCCAGCTGCTCTCAGTCATATCTCCACAACAACCCTGTGAGTTAGTTTGGGCTGAGAGTCTGAGACTGGCCCAAAGTCACCCAGTTGGCTCCATGGCTGAGTGAGGACTAGAACCCAGATTGTCTGAGTCCCAGTCCCATGCTCTTAGATGGCTTTCTTTAAGGCACTGGCTTTCTTTAAGGTGGGCCAGTATTGTTTCCCCATATTATATTATGGGGAAGAGAAGAAAGGGTGGAGAGAACAAGTGACCTCAGGCAAGCAGCCACTGAGTTATGGGGGCTTTACAGCTCAGGAACATAGGTACTATCCTGCTTCAGCATTTTGGGTCAGCCTTTCTAAGCAGCTGCATGAAAGCTTCAGATTTTATACATTTTGATTCAGGTGTAAGAGAATATTATGCATACTCATTATGCACTTATGCCGCATTCCCTGGTCTAAGGCAAGCTATAAGAAATTCTGTGCATGTGTTTATCCCTTGCCCACAAGACAGTGGTGGGGAAACAGTGTCTATGGATATGCAAACTACCCAAATGGAAATCCTCAATCAAGGAGGCATGATACTATGGCCCCCTATTGGTTATTTACCCCACAGTTAGGCTGCAGCATGTGGAGCATTTGCAAGCTCCCTTTTAAAAATATGTGGTTCCTGCTTGTGGGTAGCCATGCCAAGTAAATGGGGGGATGTGGGTGCACATGACACAACAGCCTGTGAACAGGGCTTGCATATTCAACTTGGCACCCACAGGCACTGCACCTTGTGGCTAAAACACAACAAAGCACAGTGTGTCATCCGAATCTGATCAAGGCATCTTTTCTACAACTTCTCTCCCCTCTACTTCCCCCTATACTTTCCACTTAAAAATGGTGTTATGGAGCATGTTATAATGACCCTTCCCCATTGTTACAACTTAGCACTTTGTTTTACTGGCTAAGCCTGTTTTTTGGTCAGTGTAACAGCACTGCAACCTTAGATTCAGGATTGCCAGTAAGAGAGCAATAATATGCACCTTCAACTCAGAGTCAGTTACGCCTGAGTAGATATGCATATAATTGTACTGCATATGTACATTTGAATAATTATGAGGTCTTATTGATGAAAAATGAGGATATCCTTCCTATATTTGGTAAATAAATACTTATTCTCTTTGGAGGGAAATCCCAATATAATTTTTCTGTGTGGTGAATGTACTTCTCAGAATTCATTGTTAAAAAGCAGCTAATTTGGGGGGATTAGGAGACAGCTTTTCATTTAGAGATACAAATTATTAAGAGAGCTGAAGGGTAAACATATCACATAATAAGATCACTCAACAGTGTACAAAAGCATGGTTATGCACCATTGTATAATCAGCACTCATTACCTGTTCCCTAATTGTTACAGGCAAATTAAGCACTGCTTCCTGGTTTATCAAATGAAAGGAGCTCTTGAAGTTTTCAGAATAAACTATGAGGACTTGTTAGGTATTAATAAATTCAAGGATTTGACTGTTGCAAAATGAAAGCTTGTGATTTGAGAAGCAGAATTTTTACATGTCAATTCAAAATCTGCAATGTCCCACAAGGAGAGCCAGTGTGGTGTAGTGGTTAAAAGCATGGGACTGGGACTCAGATGATCTGAGTTCTAGTCCCCGCTCAGCCATGGAGCCAACTGGGTGACTTTGGGCCAGTCACAGACTCTCAGCCCGACCTACCTCACAGAGTTGTTGTTGTGGGGATAAGATGGAGGAGGAGAATGATGTAAGCTGCCTTGAGCCCTTTGTAGGAAAAAGGCAGGATATAAATTGAATGAATAAATAAATAAATAAGTTCATTGCTGATCAGAAAGAGTTGTACACATATGGCTTGTGTATTTCCTGGGGAATACTGAGAGCATTATACCACACTGTTATGAATATTTGCTTGTAAACAAGCCCCACAGAATTAAATGTAATCTACACTCAACAGCATACAGGATCAGAGTTTAAAGAGCTGGAAGATAAAGCTTTTCATTCAAAAGCTTAAGAGTCGAGGTGTTTAAAAACACACAAGGTGGACCTTTGATATTCAAATCTTCAAAATCTAGATTTTCACACATCTGCGTTTCAAGGTACATGCATCCACATGCAAACTCTACTTCAGATCCACTTTAGTATAAAATCAAAATTTAGAAGACTGTCTTGGGCTCATTTATGCACTGGAGAATTCAGAGGTGAAAGTGCTGAATCTTTAGTGAATTAAGAGATAAAGGGTTAGATCAAATCTTAGCCATGCTTTCAGTAAATCCAATGAAATTAATGGGACTTTGGCTGGTCATGCCTTGTCCTCTTGATTTAAATGGATCTATTCCAAGCATGTTTATGTACCTAATCCATAAAATAAAATTACAAGATTTATTATAAAACTGCTTAGAAGATTAAATGGGGAGCAGGTCCTCCAACATACATACATAGTTATAGCACGATATATACCACAATGCAATTATACACAGTAGGTTGCCCCAGATAGCAAGGGTGACCAATAAAACCTTTTGAAGGGAAACAGCAAACACAAACTTCTCTCAATATGCTGGGGAAAGGGGGCACACAAATAAAATCCACCTTCAGTATAACCACCTTCAGTATAAATGTGCCTTCCAACTCACACGGAGAAATTGTGCACATGGCAAAGATCCGAGTGTGTCCATCCATATGCAGCCACAGCAGTATTTATGGGTACACACTTACACCCTACCTACATTAAAAACTCCAGCCTCAGATATCTATGCTGCCAGAGCTCTCTCTCCTCCCATCCCATCATTACATTGTCCACACAAAGCAACATCATTCTTTCTATCCCCTGCTCGAATCCCACCGATGCAATCTGCAGGTGGAAGGGGTTTGGCACTGGCAGAACTTTCGCAAGAGCAGCTCGCAGAGCGGAGGAGGAGGTAAGGAATTTCATCCAGCAACCTTGTAATGCATGCAGAACACAGATGCTGTCCCCCTTCGAGCTCCCACATTTGCCCTACTCTTGTGAACAACCCACTGTTTAACTGTGGGCGCAGCAATGCAACAACCTAGCAACTGGTCTACAGCAGGATTCCGAAGTAAGGTCACCGAAGTAAGTGGGATTTAACCGTGGTGTGTGCGTTTACCTTGTCAAGCTGTGTAACCCAAAAAATAGTCAACCTAGCAGACGGGCTTAAATAAGGAAGAAGAAAAGAATACATAAAGCAAAACACAATGGAAACGGACGTGTTGGAGACCTAAAGAAATTTGCAGGGCAATCCTATGCATGCATACTCAAGAGAAAGTCACAGTGCATTCAGTGGAACGGGTTTACATGTTTAAGAGCGCAGCTTTAAAACCAAAGAGACTGGAAAAGGCAAGCGTCAGAAAAGGAAAATTAAAGGAGGCTCACAAGAGGAAAAAAAAAAATCGTGAAAGAAAGAAAATGAAACGGAGACGAAACAGATGATAACGCCGGAAAAAGAAAAGGAAAGACTACGGGGGAAAATAGAAAAAGAGGGAAGAAGGAACGAAGAAAGGACGATAACTGAAGCAGAAAGGGGAAGATGAGAAGAGGAAGCAAGAAAAATAACTGTATAGCCACGGGAGCTGTAGAAGAACAATCAAGAGAGAAACAAATAGAAATCTGAGGCAGGAAGATAAAATAAAACAAGCGCGAACTAGGTATTTCGAAGGAAAAGTCAAGCGCCAAAGGGAAGGCGCCGCTGACCCGAAATAGGCGTCCACCTGCAGGACCAGCAGGCAGTAAGTGGCGGCGGCCAGCGAAATCCGCAGAGGCGGCAGCGGGGGCTTCCCCGGCGGCAGGCGCATGGTGCCGGCTGCTGCGGCCGCCGCTGCGTTGCGATCCTCCGCTTCCCCGCCTCGGCATGGCGCTGCGCTCTCAGCGGCAGGCGCTCCGCAGCACTTTAAAGCGGCGCCTGGGCGGGAGAGGGTCGCCCTTCCTCGGCCACGCCTCCGAGGGGGAAACGAGGGCGAAAGACCGCCAGGGGGTGCGGCGGGCACCTGGAGCGCGGGAAGCGCCCGTGGCCAAGCCGCACGAGACCGTCCACCCCGCAAGCCAAAGCTTGGCCCCAGAACCCCCGGGCGTTCGCCAAGAAGGGAGAACGCCCCTAAGCATGTGCAAAATTCCAGGCACGCCGCCCATGTTGGAGGATTGCGCTGAGTTATCCTGCAATTTATTTGCAATTTATTTGCAATTTTCAGTGCAAGCTATCCTGACCTTGCATTAATGGCATGGAACCTATTGGTCTGTCTTCTTGTCTTTAGTACTTAATGACCTTTTCTATAAGGCTCTTTGAGGTTATATACAGAGAGAAAGAGAAGCAGAGTATGAATTTTTAAAAAGGTAACAACTAGCACCTTCCCGCTTTATGTGCCCATGAGGCGAAAGGCTCCTTAGATGAACAGCGCTGAGCTGGGCTTCTTTCCGCAGTTTTCTTCCGCATGTGCACTTTCCTCCGAATGACCGTTTAGTTTTCAGTAGGTAAGCGTGTCACAAGCCTTCTCGTAGTCATCCTCTCAAGAAGAAAACCTTTTAACAGCGCAGTCATGTGCATGTTTAGTCAGAAGTAAGTCCTACTCTGTTGAACGGGGCTAATTCCCATGTCAGTGTGGATAGGGTTGCAGCCTAAGTGTGCCGGTAAACAGAAGGGGAACTGTGAGCATCCCTGAGAAAGGTCTGTGGCATGCATGCAAAGTAACAGGTTAGGGTACTAAGCACAATTTCCCAGCATGCAAATCACCATATCCAAGACATTCAAGAAGCACTTAAACTGGGGGTTGGACTCGATGGCCTTCTTGGCCGCTTCTGTCCCAGTTGTTCTGTGATTCTATGATATGGAGTAATTGAGCAAATGTGATTTCTTTCTTCAGTTCCTCATCAGGGGGCTTTGCACTTCTCCCTTTTTTTAAATAGGGTCATCAGCTAATCAAAGAACTGATGTATTGTATCATCTGTGCAACACAGATGTGCACATAAGTGCATATTACCAAATCTCCAAAGCACCAAAGAACTGGCGCTTTCTTTGGATTTTTGAAGGATGTCCAGGATAAACTTCAGTTTAATAATAGAAAGCTGGCATTCATTGTTACCAGGAAAGGAGCTCTTTAATATAGCCATTTTCACAAGTAACAAGATGGTTTAATTCTTAATTAATTGCTTTTGTGCCACAATTAAAATATTTTGCACTTTCAGAATGTTGAGTGTCTTGAGTACATCAAGTGGTAATAATACCAAATGAATCTGTTTTAGTTGCAGGCTATAACACAACAAAATGTGGAAAAAGTTAAATGGGTGTGTGTGAATACTTCTGTAAGGTTTTGTATAATCAGCAACAGGTCCTTCTGTTCTAGAGAACCTTCACTCTATGGGCTTCATAGAGTGTCCACCATCCAGCCTGCTAAGCTTGTTTCCCAGATCCTCTGTATCTCCCAGTCGCTGCCCTTTTTCTTTCCCTGCCTAGTGCCAAGGGTGCGGAAAAGGATTGTCTCCAATCCACAGCAGATCAGCAATATGCCCCTTCTCTCAGTGCTGGGCAGGAGAAAATGTGGGAGGGGACCGAGAAAGAAGTTTGACCAGCTTCTCTTAGCACTAGAAGACCAGGAAGGATAGCTGCAAACCGGGAAGCATCCCTTTCTCCTCCTCAGTCTGAGGAGAGTGAACTGCTCAAGGCTGGGCAGGGAAAATGTTGTAAGCCGCCCCGAGGTTTCGGCAAGGGGCGGCATAGAAATGTTATAATAATAATAATAATAATAATAATAATAATAATAATAATAATAAATGCCCCCTTCCCACACAGCTGATCTGTATGGGGGTATATGAATGTGTGCATATGAACAGCATGTGTGAGGATGGAGTATGTTTGTGTGACTGTGCTGGGTGTCTCTATGAGCTAATATCTGTGTGTATATAAGAGGAGCACATGCCCACCATGGTCCCAGCTTCTATAAAATTGTTAATACCTATATGTGTGGGGGGGGGGCAAACTTTTGGGTTTTTTTTCTGTTTGATGTGATTTTGTACAATGCCAAATGGCTGTAGATGATGTAGCTTTTTTTAAAAAAAACAAGAAACTCATTTGCTGGCTGTAGATGAGCACCTGTTAAGAAAAAATGAGTTAGTGATGTCTACATATATATCATATTCCAACATGTTTAAAGAGGATGAGCTTTTAATTCATGAGCAACTTTCCTTTTCAGTTCATCAGGTTCTAATGATTGCTTTATGATTGCGGTTGGGAAATATATTGATAATGTAATTGCTTTGGTTAAAGTATGTGAGTAATAATGATTCTCCAATTAAGATTTAGCAAATTGATATTGTTTATGATTATTTGATTGTTGTGGGGACTTTCATGAGATTTTATGTTCTTTGCTGGATAGGAGTGTATCTATCTGTTCCACTAAGTCAAAAGGTGGTGGGATTTACACTTACGCAGCTGAACTCATTTTGGTTGATACTTGGAGAATTTTGTATCCCGGTAAGAGAAACTGTACTTCTATTTCTATATAACTATACCTGTCCATCTTAATCACTTTTCACTAGATTGGCTTTTTTGTTTTTTTAGTTTCTACAGCTTTGTTATATCAAATATATGTTTGCAATATTGTTCCACTGGTAGTGTCAGACCACATTTCAGTTTGCTTGGAATGGTTGTTGTTGTTATTTCAACACCATCCAATAGTTGAAGCTCTCTGGGCAGTTTAGAACAGCACAGAAAATACAATAAAATGCAATATAAAATGCAGATAACAATAAAAACATCATAAAATTAGAGTGTAAAATTTAAAATCAAATTTTAAAATACTTTACACAAATTAAATCACAAGACCTGTTATGCAGTTGTCAAAAATCCCCAATATAATATTAAAGTTAATTAAATGCCCTGTCATAGAGAACTGTTTTAACATGGTGCCAAGAAAATTGGTGCCAGGCAGGCCATAGTGGAGAGCTTGTTCCATAACTGGGGTGGGGGGGACTTCCCTGAGAAGCCCTTCTTGTTGCCACCTACCAAACCTCCTCAGAAGTGGCAATTGGAGGCAGGCAGGAGATCTTGATTGTAGTGTACGGATATATTGTTAGGAAAGGCATTCCATCAAAAATTGTGGTCCCAAGCTGTGTAGGGCTTTATAGGTTAAAACCAGCTTTGAAGCATATAGGCAGTTAATGCAAGCAGGCCAGAATAGGTGTTATGTGCTTGGACCTTTTGGTCCCTATTATTAATCTGTGTAGCTTCTGAACTGTCACCAAAGGGGACCCCACAGAGGGTACATTGTGGTAATCTTGTTAAAAGATTACTAGAATGTAGATCACTGAAACAAGGTTATTCTTGTCCAAGTAAGGGTGTAGTTGGGCCACCAGCCGAAGATGGCGGAAGGCAATCTGTGCCACTGAGGCCAACCTGGGCTTCAAGTGACAAAGATGGCATAAGCAGCACTCCCAAGCTATGGACCTGCTCCTTCAAGGGTAATGCAGCCCCATCCAAGAAACGTTGAATTCCCCTCATCTGGTCTGAAGAACCACCTATGAAAAGTATCTCACACTTGTCTGGACTGAGCTTTAGTTTGTTAGCCCTCATCCAGTCACAGCCAGGCGCAGGGTTAAGTACATCCAGTCCAATAGGTTTAAAAATCATATTTTTGTTGAGCTACTTGAGTATTTTTAAATTAATAGGGGTACTGTTGAGTGTTGCACCACTGAGTAGGACACAAGTAAATCTTTCATTTGGGGTCAGATTGATGCTTAAACTTCCTATAAGGAAAAAAGAACACTTAAAATTCAACAAATATCGAAAATCCTTTATACACTTATTTGCCATTTTCCTAACTACCCAACTTTATCAGTAGCTATAAAACATTAACTATGAATTGAATAGTATCTTTTCAAATTGGCAGAATTTTACTTAAAACAGATGGTGAGAGTGGTACAATATACACACCTCCCATAGATATAAACTCAAAATTCTAAAAACTATTCTTATTTGTATAGTGGTGAATCATCTGCGTGATTTCTTTTTTGATATTAATGTTCCATGCTTAGATTCCTCACAAAGACATTTTTTTCTTGGCTCCTCTGCATATGAAGGAAATTATAAAAGCGGTTATGGATATTGGAATACCACCTGATATGTATCAGTTTCCAGTTGAACGATATAAAACATTTTTCTCTTAGTTTCCAAAGTTTTATCATCTTTATAAAAATGTTTTTTTTTTAATTAGGCTTTCTTCATCATTAAATGTTGCTTATATTACAGTGATTCCTATGCCTAGCACATATTTCAGTTCTGTGCTATTGTCCTATTTTGTTAATGTAGATATTAAAATATTAACAATGCTGGCAGATTGCAATACATTGCAAAAAGTTGTTACAACCCTGGTTTATCCAGGCTAGGTAAGATTGATTAAACATAGACTTATAATCTTAGATGACTTGCTGACTGAACAGTTTTAAATGCTGATAGAAGAAACCATACTACCATTGTTTCTTTGGTTGCTGAAAAGACAGAATTCAACAGATTTTTTTTCACAATATGGTGTGATGTTGGCTTTTCTGTAGAATTTTTAATAGGTTAAAATTTATATTCATTCCTAAAAACAATAGTTATGATCAGTGGTTTTTCCTCGGATTTCTTTTTGCTTGGGAAAGGTACCAGACAAGAATATTCATTTTCTTCATTGCTATTTGATTTACATTTGGTATTCCTGGAATGTGCTACTAAAATAGTAATATTCATAGTTTTCTGCATGATTCTGTAGAATTTAAAGTATTCTTTAAGTTAATGATCACTTGTTTTATCTTGATACTCAAGACA